CAACCACAAAGCATTCCTTCATGTACTTGTTGTGCTTACCATTCTCCCTGCTTATAGCAAGTACTCTGAACTAATGGATGTATACTGACCAAGCAAGGTGGATAAGTAAAGTAAAGGTGGTATTAGCAGCAAAACTTACAAGAACGTCAATATCATGGCTTGTATTAGCAATGAAATGTATAAGAACATCAACTTCACAGCTGGTATTAACAGTGAAACGCATGAGAACAACTGAGTCTGTATGAAACAATCACTGAACCTAACATGGCCCAAGTCAAGGGTGTCAAACTCATCTAGCCACCCGAGCCAACAGGGTGGCTGAGCCAGTCTGCAGGCCAGATCGGGACCAACCCCCTGTGCAGCACTGGCCCTGGGGCTCAGTGTACATACAGCACGCAGGGCTGGCAGAGCATGTGCTGCCCACAGCAAATGGGCTGTACCAGGCACTGCAAGCAGCATAGAGGGTCAATCTGGGTCACACGCTGTATGCAGTGCCCTGACAGAACAACCAGCCCTGCATGCTGCCTCCAGCATGACCCAACCTGGGCTGGCCCCAGAGCCAGCGCACAGGACTAGTCTGATGGAGCTCTGCATGCAGCAAATGCTCTGGACCAACCCCCCTGTGCTGCAAGTGCTCAATATAAATGGCTTCCCACATTAGCTACGATGGAGATTACACTAGATAGCTAACTAATCTGCTGTTCCTTTCTCCTCCCCATTCATATCTACCTTCTTCAGTCAGATTTATTACATATAAGTTGTTCTTCATTCTTCAATATAATCTTCCTTTCCAAATGGTAAGTTTTTACCCCAATTCTTTTCTTCAGCTCCTATCCATTTAGTTATCATCATAACAGCCACCCCATGAAGGAAAAAATTGTAATTACTTTAACCCCAAATCTTAGCTAATTCAATCACCTTCATGTTTTCATGCCTATTTCTTATCGCTGTAGAAGAATCCATCAAAATAACAGGATATGTAACATAATATATCCTTACTGAATTAAGTCCTAACTCCATTTCACTTCCACAATATTTCATTTTCAGTCCAAACACAAATTGTGTCAAAACTGGAAAATAATCCCATTTCCCTGAAGAAACCCATTTAACTTTCAGCTCTAGAGATGTTAAAATAAGTTTAGAGAAAATACAAAGAGAAAAAATTAAGTCTAAATTTTTCTCCCTTATTACTAGTGCATTATGAAAGATTCTGTATCCTCGCTAGAGTCCAAAATCTGATATCAATGAACTCACAAAAGTTCTATGAAGAGTCAAGCCATGATTTGGACTCTAAATTCTGAATGTGTGACAAGAAACAAAATTACTTGCGACAGAACTGCTTGGTTATTTTAATTAATTTAACTCGTATGAATCAGAAAGCATTGTACACAATGCCATGTCTAAATTATTATCACAGGGAAACTACATTAAAGAAAGAAATGAGGGGAAAATTCAGACGTGTATAAAGATTATATGTAAAAATATTTCACAGCCGAGGTAGATTAACTCATGTTACTCATGAAAATATATTTTCTTTGCATATTATGAACTTCCACATGAAGAGAGATTGAAAAGATTAGGGCTGTTAGGCTTAGAGAAGAGGGGAAATTATTGGGAAAATTAAATTGTGCAAAGCCTGTATATAGTGAGTACTGCTCTCTCTTAAATAAACCTAATAAGATTAGAACTTGATAAAGTAAGTACTTTTTTATACAACATATGCTCTAGTGGTAGAGACACAAGTGTCAGTGAAGTCAAGAGCATAACAAAAATTAAAGATGGTGACTTATTTATGTATAGTTGATGTGGATAATAAGAATATCCATAGTTACATTAGATAGGACACAACATTTATAACGTAATTTATAGAATTGATATATCCAGCATGCCATGTAAACATTAACCAATAGGTGTTAGGAAAAATAGCCCTTTATACTGGTATTAAGTATTAGCAGGCTTTATATCATTATTACTGTTGATTGAATTTCTTGCATTTTCATCTGAGGCATCTGGCACTGGCCCCCATCAGAAATGGTGTTTCAGATGAGATGTGCCACTATGAAAATCTTCAAGGGCATATTTACATGTGCTCCGGGGTGGGGAAGAGAAAAGGGGCATTTTAATTAGAGCAGATCCTGCAGTGTCTCATATATTCAACATCCTGCACTTCAAAACAGCAGTGGGGGAGCTTTAACTAAAGCTTGTTTGACAAGCTTTAGTTAAAGTGCCCCTGCTGCCATTTTGAAAGCTGGAAACACTGCATACACATGACACCAAGGCTGCTGGAGCACTGGAGCAGACTTGATTAATCGAGCTTGCCCGACGCGTTCTAATTAGATTAATCAAGTTTGCTCCGACACATTCTAATTTCCTCCCTAGTAAATGCAAATAGATATTGTAAGTGTTCAAATGAGCTCCCTTTTCCATAAACCTGAGGATGTCTTTGAAGGACTGGATGACAGCAGGGAACGCCGATGCCACTGACTCGGGAACTAGCTCACAGGTCCTATGCAAGAAATCTAAGGGATTAAGATGTTGCTGTCCCCTTGGCCTGCAAAGCTCTCAATGAGGTAAAAAAACACTGTGCCAAACATAATGAGGCAGGACTACAAGTCTATTTAAAATCGTAACATGTCACGTTTGATTTGCATCAATTCAAGTTTGAGTTGAAATTAAGAGCTCAGTGGGTGCAGCTACACACAATATTAAGGCAGCTAAAATAAACTCCGGCACAGTTCGTACCATAGTCTAGCGCTTCCAAGTACAGTGTCTTCACATGCACTAGGACCACAGCGCAGTGAGTCAGAGTGACGCAGCCACAGCTGGCAAAGGGTTCAGGGGGTCAGTCTGCCAGCCCGGGGCTGCTCCACCCAGTTCAGCATGCTGCAAAGAGGCTAGCTGGGGCACAAGGGTGGGGCTAGCCAGCAGGCAGCACCCACACTGTTGCACCCTCATGCCCCAGCCAGCCTGGTCCCCATCTACACAAGCATTGTGAAAACTAAAGTAGTCCGCCACAGAATAGTATTTGTATCTAGCGCTATTAGCCTTCAGTGGAGTTAGTTTACTCTGACCTAATAGTACCACTTGTGTAGATGGTAACATTTTATTGCACAGATAATTAGCCAACTGCACAGTAAACATCTTGTATAGACATGCCCAGTGAGAAACATCCAGTTAATTTTGTTGCATCTGATTTATTCCCATTTTTACACTGCACTGGAAAAAAATATACTCTTCACTCGTAATTCCTCAGTTTTTAGGATAACATTATCCAGGAAAACCTTGTCCAATTAATTTTTAAAAAACTTCAGCAAAAAAACCTTTCTTAGCCTCAGACCAAACCTAATAACTTCCACATTTGTAAGATATTTTAGTCAGTATTAGAAAACCTCAATATCAAGTTAAAACTCAATTGCAGTTTTGACACTGGAGCAGTTCTCAGCACTTCAAAATACTATTTACATCTTTTCATGTTTCACCACTGAAAACTGAATATAATTAAACAAATCACTTTCAGTGGAAAGGGCATTAAAAGAATATATCTTTCCTTCATTTTCATTTCCAAATTTAAAAGACCAAAATTTTGCAAATCAAATAGACCATCCCCAAAGTAAGGACAGCCCCCATGTACAAACAATACTCTGTGCTGAGGGACTCAACCCCAAATCATCCACAATCATCCACAATATGCTGTTTATTTCTTGAGTATGGTACTAAGGTATATCCCAACATAATTTCCAGAGCTCTTCTAGGGACAGGTCTTCAGCTGACATCTCCTTCTGAGCTAGTCCAAACTTATAAGTAATAGACAGCAGTATAATGTAGAAAGCCAGAAGAAAGAATGGGGCTAGGAATCTAGTGGTGACAGCAGAGCTTTCAAGCTAAGAATGGGGGTCAAATATATGGGTTTACAGCAGGGGTATCAAACTCAACCTGCCCTGTGTGCCAGATCAAACCACAGGGCTCCTCATGACCAAATCCAGACCTGCCAGAGACAAGGCAAGTGATAGAGTCAGCAGAACCTGTGGTCGCAATGGTGGCCGTATGGCAAATAGCACTGGCAGAGCCAGTGACAGAGGACGTGGTAAAGAGGCAGGCAGAAAGAGCAGTACTGTGTCAGCACAGCCTCCACTTGCCTTCCCTGCTGCCAGTGGCCATATCCAGCAAGGTGCTGTAGCCCCCAAATCTGCAGTAGGCCCCACCTCCAAATTCCCTGGCCCATCAGGAGCCATACATGTTTGAAGCCCCTGGTTTATAGTATAGCTGGTTAGCATTTATGGGCCATAATGCTGATCCTAACTACCGGTGTAGCAATAGACTTTTGTTAATAATAATAAGCAAGACTTGAGTCAAAGTTGTTGTTTGGGTGAAAAAATAAACTACTATTAAAATTATATGCAGAAGTTTCATATGAGTAGCTTCATCAAACAAAACTAAAGGTTATTAGTAAAAATGCTTATTTCTATAGGTACTATTGGGGTTTTTTATATACATTATAAATGTTTGAGTGCCTACCAAACATTCTTCAGTTATTTAATGCTAAAATTATGGCTGTTCTTCGAAGCAAAGGATGAAATTGATGACATTTTACCTAGAGTCTGTTCAGAATAGATCCTCAAAATAGTTCTCAGGGTTTTAACCAATTTAGAGACAGGATAGGTATCTTGACAAAATCTGTACTTAACTTTTCAAATATTATAAAGAACATATGTTCTTTTGAAAGCTCCTATTAACATCTGTTACAGAAGGAAGCTACTAGTTTTGAGATATAATTGGACAAGGAAAACTAAACAAAGATGGGAAGCGCTGAGACTGAATAACTATGACCCCACCATTTCTGTCAATTTTTTAAAGTACAAAAAAGTCACTTTAAAACACCTGACACCAGATCCATAATTTAAAACTCTGTGGACACTACACTGTATAATTTGCTGAACACCGTTTTGAGAATAAAGCCTTATATATTTCTGTTATGATTATGGAAATTAACAAAGACTTACAGGGCGTCCTGGAAAGTCACCAGCCTGGTATTCTTCATAAGTAACATTTTTGCTAGGGTAGTGAAATGACTTGACCAAACAAGAAAAAGCAATAAATATTTCTGTTTTATGACAGTATTAATATAGCTTCAGTATATTTTCTATATTGCATGCTTAACCAATGCAACTATCATGTTTTCTTACTATACTGGGATTCCCAAGGGACCTGTTCTTGGTACAAATGTTATTAAATATATTTCTCCTTCAATTAGGTCAGTGGTTCCCAAAGTTTTGCCCTTGAAGGGCCACTTCAAAGAAATAGTTCTGGGTGGCAGGCTGCATCAAAAAGGCTTCCAAGCAATATTTGGCCCATGGGTTACACTTTAGGAGCCCCTAGTCCAGATAATGATATAAAATATTTGATGATAAACTGTATAGAAAGCAAAAAGATTATGTAAGAAATAATGGCAAGGACAAGTTATTGTCATTACTTTGTTCTGAAATTACTAAAATCTGAAATTACTTGGTTTAATTGTCACAAAGTAACAAACCACATTTTAATAGATCTGAATGCAAGTTGTACAAACAAGGAGGTCTAAATTATGATGCCCCTCATCCCATAGGGGTAAATCCGTGTTTATCAAAGCGCTCATAATCCCTGTTTATCAAAACATACAAACAAGAGTGACCATGTTTCGTAATCTAGCCCAGAATTTCCCAACCTCAGGTCATAACCCCAATGAGGGTTGTGGGGGCAATCCCAGCGACGCCACACACAAAGGACAAGCCACGCCGCATGCCAGGAGCTGCCCTGCCTCTGGGCCGCCCCCGCTGCACTCCGCTCCCAACAGCTGGTTGTAGCAAAAAAGGTTGGGAACCACTGATCTAGCCAATACATAAAATAAATCCCTGATATTATGCATTTAAAATCTTTTTTAAAAGCCTGACACTAAAGAAGGAAGCCAAGAATGAAAGGCTGGGACCAATAAGCAAACAAGTAAAATGGAAAGTGACTCCGTAGACCAGTGATTATGGAACTCAGTTGGGAGGGAAGAGATCCAGGTTATACTCCCAAAGCTATATCTACCTGTGTTTAACAAATTACTATTTAATTTAAAATATATAAAGCATCCTGGAAATAGGAAAAGGAACTCAAGATTCTTCCCAGGGGACAGTATGGCTCACTGGACTACCAAGTCACACTGCTTTTTGCTTGTTCTCCTCCTTGCCCTATGACTCCTGAAATCTTGCAGGAGTACCCCTGAATGCAGGAGTATCCCTCATTCAGCCTATGGTATAACCGCTAATTAGGATGTCTATAAATGTGCTCAGGGGTGGGGGGTGTTTATTTAGAGCAGTTCCTGGGGGGGCTGCTCTAATTAAAATGCCACAGAGTCATATGTATTAATTCTCTGTACATTTTAAAATAGCCATGGGATACTTTAACTAAAGCTCATTTGATGAGCTTTAGTTAAAGCACCCCAGTGGCCATTTTTAAATCCACAGGGGCATATACACAGAACAGTGTGGTGACAATACAGCTTTCTAATTAGAATGCAGAGCAGACTCAATTAATCAAGCATGCTCTGATGTTTTCCAGTTAGAACACATCAGAGCACATGTATAAGTACCTTAAAATACTCTCCTGGAAAGTGGGGCACATAGATTTGAATCCATTCAGGTTGAGGGGTCTGGTAATCCAGTTTCTCACTTCTAGGGCAAGTGCTCCAACCAGTAGGCAATATTGCAAAGTAGGTGGGCAGCAACACTACCAGCTGCATTTCTGAACTGGAGTCAATGCTCTTAGTGCAAGACAGGAATGCTCAGAACACACACTAATGGATCAGGTCCTTTCAGTGATTTGGTGAGTCCTGAGCACTAATCTGGACTGCAGTGGTCCCTTGGGTTAAGTTTGGTGCCCAGGTAATCAAAATGGATCACTTCAGATTTTTGCAGCCCAAAATGAAGGCTCTCCCCTGCCTTAGGTACCTTCTACATCTTGTGTTTTGTGGAGCAGAGCTAAACTGAAGCGCTTTTCAGGTCTTTTAGTAGGGGCATTTTTACACATGCAGCACACCACAGCATCCGGCGCTTTGACAAGTGCCTGGCACTGCATCGCCTGCAATTGTATAAGCAGCAAAATGCACGTCAGCAAACAGAAATGGCAGCGGTCCACTTTTGAACTAAAACACATAGAAGGTGTTTTAGTTCAAAAGTGCACCACCACCATTTTCTCCACACTGACTCACATTTTGCCGCTTATACAACTGCAAGCAATGCAGCACCGTGCATATCAGCTCACGTGTGGAGCAGACTCAATTAAGTGCGCTGGATCTCTGATGCATCCAGCCATGAACATGTATGTGTATAAATTCCACCTACTCCCATTTAGACACCTACATCAGCAAACCAAATCTGCTCCTTAAATGACTATTTTCTTAAACTTAATTAAAAGGATCAACAAATCAATACATTTAGTAAGAAATGAATTATTATGTTTTTCACATTTGTCTATATTTATCTACTTGATATTAACACCATCCAGATCAAAATATAAATTATTAGAGAAGTCTTATAGATGAACACTATTATTTTTATCAAATTGTGACTGTTATAATATTTCATATTCTTAAAATATTGATAATACAAGAGAATAATAAAATGTGCTGTGAATTATTGAATTCATTTCATTTTTAACTTACTCTTGATTTTTTCTTCCTGGGTTTTCTTGAAGACTGGGAACCACCATATAAGCTAAAATACAAAGTAAAATTATCCTCATGTGAATATTTGTCAATTTTAAACTAAAAAGTATTATTAGCTATTATTTATTAATATTTGTATTATTACTCATGACAGCCTTAGATGCTGAAGTCCTACTTTCATTCATTCAAAAAGTGTAGCTTGTACATTATTAGATTAATAATAAATTTTAATATACTTTGTAATGCGCTCTACTGGAATATTTTCTGTGCTTACCGCTAGCTCTCTGCTGGGTGGAATGTCAAATTTCCTTCTTCTGCCCAGGGAAGGGAGCAGTGAGACACCGGTCCTCTTTCTCGGATCTCTCAAGTACATTTTAACAAACTACTTCCTGTCCTTGCAGTGGCAGGACACTAACAGTGCCCACTACCTTGCCTGTGGCAAGTTAGTGTTTGGATGTTTTTAGCATTGTGCCTGGTATTTGGGCAGAGGCGGGGGTTGCGCAGTTTTAAGAATTTACATAGACATGATTCTGCCTTGATCAGGGACTTGGACTCGATGACCACTTAAGGGCCCTTCCAGCCTCCTTTTCTTTGATTCTATAATTTAATATTTTGATTATGTTTCCCCTTAGAAGAGGACATACAAAGAACATGAAGCTGTTTATTAATAGGGGGGAAAAAAGCTTTGTTTAAGCCCTAGCCTAGAAGCAGATGTGTAAGTGTTGATTCTTACTTGCACCCATAGACAAGAATCCCATCTCATCTCAACTCATCAGCAAGCTAGACCAGGTCTCAGCATGTGATAGCCATGTTATTATGATAGTCTTGTTATTTTTTGCATAGAAGGTAGTGTATTTTAATCTTCATTGTCAATCTTGAGTTCACGGGCCCTGGCAGACATTATACCTAAGATGTGATTAACCTGTTAAAAGTATATTAAACAGTAACCCAGCCATATGTTCAGGAGAGTAATGGCACAACAGAACAAGAAACCAGCCACAAAAAATGTTCTATCAAATATGTGGAATATTTTTGTGGCTGGTTTCCATCAAGCCTTAAACTGAATGCGTAGCAGGGTCCCAGCCATGCAACCTGATGCTAGCTAGCTGATGGGGCTTGGTTGACAGTTCCCATCCCCATGTCAGCAGACTGACAGTCCTGTGGTACAGCCCTGCATAGGGTTGCACTCCACTGATTTCTGGGTGCTGAGTTGAGGGAAGCTCATAAGCTTGGCTTCCTGAGACTCAGCAAGTGGACTGCCTTGCCCTGAAGCTCCCAGAGAGCTGTGGAACGAAGCACTTGATATCCAAGCCACAAGGACTCTGGAATAGGGAGAGAATCCCAGATCCCAGGGCCCCAGTGCACCAGGACCTTATAAAACTGCATGTGAAGGTGGGCTGTATATGAGGTTTTCTAACATCCTGGCCCATGGGGCTCTGAGACTGGCCTCAGTACAGTCCCAGAGCTGGAAACAATAATCAGCTGATTGTTGGTATCAGCCCCAGGAACTTACTGGAAGGCCTGAGACCAGTATTCACATGATTATTGGTTCCAGCCCTGGGACCCCACTGGAGTCTCTGGCTCCCATGAGGTCCCTGGCCTGAGACTGACAGTCAGCTAACTGTCAGTCCCAGCTCTAGCACCACGCTGGCTTGTGCTAGGCTGCAGGCAGACAGCTTGCCAGTGCAGGCATGATGATCCCAGGCTCCTCCTGCACCGTCAAGTAGTAATAGCTCAATTGGGATCTGATTCCCAATCCCAATATCATGCAGCCTGCTATACATGTGGCATGGCAGGAAACACAATTGTTGGGATTGGGGATTAGATCCATCATGACATAAAATGAATGCGTCACAGGAGCCATATATCAAAAACTGCAATGTGGCCTATGACTGTGAAGTCAATGCAGTCAAGGCTCATTATCAGGGATCCTGGCTTTCCCTGATTAAAAAAATAAAAAATTCTCTGATAAAAAATTGCAAATCCTCTGATAAAAAATCCAAAATCCATGATAAAAATCAAAGCCTCCCCCCCT